ATAGGAACTAATGTTGGAAGAAAATACACAAGTGACCTTCAGAACGATTTTGTTAATGTTTTTAATCCACATTGCTGGGAACCTTTATATGGGATGCCGTGTTTGTATTAAGTAAGCAAAATAAAAAAGTGAGGAGGAGGCACGTCTTTGCAAAAGACGAACCGGGCGAAGTATTCTGTGCACCACTTACAACAGTCTTGTCCACATTCTTGGGGCAAAGAGTGATAGGTGTGGGACTGTTTGTATTTCAGGTTGAGTAGTCCTGCTCTGAAAATCCAAAATCTGAAATGCTGCAAAATCCAGAACTTTTTGAGGACTGACATGACACTCATAGGAAGTACTCATTTGAGCCTTTCGGATTTGGAATTTTTAGATTAGAGATACGCAGCCAGTAAATATATTTCAAAATCTGAAACATTTGAAATCTGAAACATTTCTGGACCCGGGCGTTTCAGATAGAACAGACTCAGCCTGTATTCCAGTAAATATGGTACATCTGGAAAGGGTTCTGGTCACGGATGCCGTCTAGATGGAAGGCGTGTAACACAAGTGCCACTGTTCTCCTGTCTTCGCCGGATTTTGTATTTGGGTTACTAGGAGATGATTAAGGATTCATTGGTCATAGTCTAGCATTTGATGATGAGGTACTGGAAGAGAATTCAGCTGGAATTCTCTTCTTGCAACGGTATGAATGTTAATTTTACTGCCACCAGGTGACTCTTCTGGGGGTGTTTAAAGCTTATTCATCTCTAGTTTTGATAAGGAATCCAACAGATGCCAGTTGAGCTGTTAGAAATGAAATCATCTCGCTCTTGGCTATGTGTTAATAGATTATGGTATTGAAAGAAAATAATGCATGTTTATAAAATGACTTCTTTGTAAACACTTAAAAAATGGGAATATTGAAGTAATGGCAAGACTGCTGATGATTCCTACTACAGGCTTTGTAAGACGGCTCTTAAAATGGAGTGTGGCAGACGGAGGAAGATGCCAGAGCCTCTGCTCTCCCTTCCGCTCCCACATTTTTGCACATGAATCTAGTTTTTTGGGATTTTTTTGAGTTGGAGTCTCACTCCGTCGCCCCGGCTGGAGGGCAGTGGCACACTCACAGCCACCCCAGCGTCAATCCACTGGGCTCAGGCGATCCTTCCGCCTCAGCCTTCCAAGTAGCTGGAACTACAAGCGCACACTACCACACCTGGCTAATTTTTTGATTTATTATAGAGATGAAGTCTCGCCAAGTTGCCCAGGCTAGTCTTGAACCCGTGGGCTCAGGCAGTCCTCTCACCTCGGCCTCCCAGAGTGCTGGGATGACAGGCTTGAGCCACTGCACCCAGCTGAATCTAGTTTTTTTAAACAGCAAAGGGCTCTTGAACGTCTACCAATCTGTTCCCAAAACCAGTTTTAAGTGGCTTTAAGTTAGAGTTTTGTTCATTCTGTAAATACCAACTGACCTTGCTGTGCTGGGCCCCACGTGTGATCTGGGGAGCTGGTAGGTGTACAGTCTGCCCAGTACCTGACTGCAGGAGGCTTGGGGTCCATGTGGTAGGAAGACATGCACACGCATATTGATGGTGTAATTAGCATGTGCCAGATAGGACGAGAAAGTTGGAGAGTTTCTGTTGGTAGAGTTGAGAGACTGGAGAGGAGAGGAAAGACCTCTGGCGGGGGCGTACTTGAGCGGGGCTCAGAAGCGGGACAGGAGGTTGGCAGGCAGGACTTGAGAGTGTGTGCATGCCAGAGGACTGGGCGGGGCTGGGTGGTGGGCCAGTGTCGAGGACCTTCAAGGAGATCAGGTTGGAAAACCACTAGCACCACGACCCCCGAGGAGCTTGTGCTGGTGTGAGCCTTTTGGTTTTTTTTGTAGTTGGGCAGTAGAGAGCCCTTGAAGGTTTTGAGGTGGGAGTAACTCAGTGAGGTTGGAGCAAGAGGAAGATTTGCCTGTGGCCTGCTTTGAGAGACACAAGGAAGAGGCCAGGGTGGTAGTTTGAATAAGAACTTTGCAGCTGAGGGTGGTGGCAGATAGGCAGGGGAAGGACGAGACATGAGCAGGGCGTGTGAAATGATTGTGCTAGGGCCAGAGTGCCAGACAGAGTCCAAGCATGCATGTGGATGTAGCACTTGGGGACATGTCTGACCATGTGTCCCAGGTGTGTCCGGGATTGAAGATCGGCTGATGGAAAGAGCTGGTTCTGTAGCCCCATCTCTGCGTCCCCATTCCCAGGTCAGGCACCATCTCAGGAGATGTCTGTGGAAGGAACGGAGGTGCTGGATTCGGGTGTGCACATAGCGAGCTCAGCACGGGGGCCGGCCCCTCGGGTGGCAAGGGCCAAGCCCGTCTGGGATCCTGGCTTGGTGGTTCCTGGCCAGGCGACCCGGAGCACATCACCAAGCCTTCTGGTTTCCTCACCCGCTGGATGATGGTGGCTGCGCTCTCAGAGTGTGAAGGGATGTGGCCACGCCCAGCCCTGCCTGGCCCTCCAGCACGCATGCACTCTCAAGTCCTGCCTGCGTCGAAGCCAGCCCCCGTCTGTCCCTGAGACGAGCCTTCCTTGGGTGTCAGCTGCTGTTGCTGGGGAGTGCAGGAGTGAGCCTGTGCCTGGCAGAAGATGGTGATGGGCTGCAGCGGGGCCCGGGGGCGTCGACTGGAGCAAGGAGAGGGTGAGGCAGTGTCGGGAACACCCCACCGGACATGTGGGAGCGGCAGTGGTGGTGAGAGGGCCCGGGAGCGACACAGGAGGGGCCTGAGGGCCAGAGGTCAGGGAGGGGAGACCCAGGGCTGGACACTGAGGTGGTGGTTCGGGAGGACATCGGCCAACCTTGGGAGACGTTGCAGGAGAGAAGCCCTGTGACCTGCGGCTCAGGAGAGCGTCAGGAAAGGGGATTCTGCCTCTGAGGAGGCACCTCGTCTTGCCGAGGGGTGTGGGCAGGCGTCTCACGCAGCGTGGGGGCAGGATGGCTGTTGAGTCTGCACCGGCGAGAGAATCGGTAAGACAGGTTGCTGTGGTGTATAAGCCCCCACACCGCACCACGCAGGACCCTGCTGTCCTGTGAGCAGCCCCTGAGCGTGCCATGCTCAGGCTGCAAGGTCCTGTGTGCAGCACTGGTACGGTCACGCGCATGTTAACAAATGAACAAAGTGTAACGTGATGTAGCACAAGCAAATGCAAAAGAGTTAGCCCTGGTTGATGCAATAAAATGCTGCCATGCGCCGCCTGACGCCGGGCAAGTTCCGTTGGGTGCTTCCGTCGTCGTGTGTGCATCATAGGGTGACTTAGGCAAACCCAGATGGTCTAACCTGCTACACACCGGGCTATGTGGTCCAGCCTGTGGCTCCCAGGCTACACAGCTGTACAGCACGCATGTGACTGTGCGGAATCCTGTAGGCTGCTGTAACACGGTAGTGAGGATTTGTGCCTCTAAACATATCTGAACATAGAAGAGGTGCCATAAAGATTCGGTGACCTACTTTTACGGGACCACTGTCACAGGTGTGGTCCATCACTGCCCGACACGTCTCTAGGGGGCCTATGACTGTGTTATGTCCAACACTTGATGAGTTCTGTGGGCCTGCAGTGCAGTAAGCACCCCTGTGTGTGTCACCTCCTTTAATCCTCCCGCAGCCCTGAGAGCTTAGGTGTTGATATTCTCAGCGTGTGGCTGAGGGTCCCCTGCAGCTTGCCCAGATCACCCAGCTGGGTGGGGTGGAGCCAGGATTTGGTCCCAGCAGTCCACTTCACAGCCTGGGAAAGAACAACCCACTGCTTCCTGCATTCTGCTGAATTGCTCAGGCCGAGCAGATGGCGTTCGAGATCGGGTCTGATGAGATAGGAAGGTGCTGAGAGAGGAAAGGGCTGTGACCGATGGGCCTGGCTCCCAAGAGGTCAGGTGCAGAGGTACCCCTTGCTTTTCGGAAGAGCAGGAAGAGGGGGGCTCACACAGAGAAAGAGGCGAGCGCTCTGACATGGGAGAGAGAGGAAGGCGGGCTGCGTCGGAAGACATGCCGAGGTGGCGAGGGCGACCACCATCCATCGGGAGATTCCAGTGGATTTTCAGAATGGCCTCCTGCCGGTTGTTTGATGAGACCAGGAGTCCTCTTGGGGAAAAGGCCTGGCGGAACAAGTGCAGGTGCACGTTGGTTGACCCTGGCAGATTCCCGGGGCACCCTGTGGAGGGAGGAGCAGAGGGCACCCTCCCAGGAGAGGCTGCGTGTGGTCAGCTGCTGCCAGTTTGAGTTGCTGTCACAGGTAGGGGAGCAGAAGGGTGAGCTGAGGACGGAGTCAGCTGTCTTTTCCCTGCTTGGAAAGATGTCCTGGTTTAGGGGCAGAAGGGAAGCCCAAAACTGCAGGAGGAAGGATGGAAGGAAAAAAGGCGAGACCCTGTGCTTTAGAGGGTGCTGCAGCGAGGGGGGGGGGCGCCCATCTCGGTGTCCCCGAGTCCACCTCCCAGGGCCTTCCGGAGATCAGCGCAGCATCTGTGGCCGTGCTGCTCACATGGCCTTGCTGTGGTTGTTGGAAGGCTGTGAGCTGTTTTCTGTTTTGTAAAATAGTGTATAATAAACGTATTGGAAAAACATTCATCAAAACAAAGACCCAAAGGGCGAAGCCTGATTTGTTTTCCGTTAGATGCTACAGACACAGGCAGCTGTCACCTGGCTGGAGGGCCCTAGTCCCGTTTTTCGTCTCAGGAGGGAGTCGTCCCAGGCTTGCATGCAGGTGCAGCGGAGGTGCATGTGGTGGGCGCCGGCGGACGGGCAGGGCAGTGCTCCCTCCAGGAGCCATTTGTGGCATGGCAGGGCATACGGGAGAGTCTCTAGGGGACAGTTTGCAGGATGAGATGAAGCTGGCGTGAAAGCACATCCCTTGAAAATTAGGTTGTGGGCAGAACCGAAGCAAGTATGCTTGGCCTTGTTGGGCAGTTTCAATCCCAGGAGGCCGCCACTGGGTGCCCCGTGCTGTGTCGCCCTGGCCCAGCCCGCTCAGCTTTGGTTTTGGTTGTAGGTGGTGTCAGCGGCCAGGGTGTGTGGAGTGGCCAGGGAGTCGCCGACAGTGAGGAGCCTCCGCCTGCAGGTAGCCGACCAGGATTTCTCCTTCAAAGCTGGCCAGTGGTAAGTGGCCTTCCTGCTTTCCAAGCATGGTGTTCCAGAAGGTGCCATGAGGTAGAAGAGATTATTTTCCTTCAGGAAAGGACTTCTGTGGCTAGGTGTTCCCTGAGCGAATTCTCGGTTGTTTCCCTTCTGGGCGAGTCTTTTGTGGCAGGGAGACGCCGGCTCCTCTCCTGACCTTGGCGCCCTCCTGGGTTGGAGCCCATGGCTCCCTCAGCCATGCCCACACCGCTGTCTTGAGTTCGCCAGAGTCAGACGGAGCAGCTAGCTGCGGTCCGTGGAGCTGATGGCCCCGTCATCACGACCTTCTGCGGTCGAGTCGGCTTCAGCTGGGTGTGGCTGGGGTTCGTGCATCTTTCAAGAATGACTCTGCTCTGTGTCCAGCACGGAGTCAGCAAAGCAGCCCGAAAGGAAGGCTGGGGTGGTGTCTCGGCTGGGCTGACCCCCCTCGACGGGGCTTCTGCGGCATTTGTGCCTTGTCTGGGTTGAGTTGAGGCAGTTTGCGTGGTTTGTCGTCAGGATTCCCCAGTCAGACCCCCACCCCATCGCCAGTCTGACCCGCTGGACTCTGGGGACTGTTGGGCGCCCACAGGACCCGCGCGTGCGCTGATAGGGCGCCCGCCCCGTGCGCCTTGCTCCTCTGGGGTCTTGGGAGCCATAGTTCAAGCCAAGCGGTGAAGAGAGCCACTTGCCTTTCCCCAGGCAGGTGTGTGGGTGTGTGTGTCCTTTGTCTAAATAAAGCACGCGTTTCTGAATGAATTCCTGACCTGCCAGCCTCGCGTGCTTCGCGGAGTCACCGACTAATTCCGCCGTCCAGATGGACGGTTTGTTAGAGGAGGCTGTGGTAATAGCAGGAGTTAGCAGTCTCGTGTGAATAGTTTGCCTTTGAATTTAGGGCTCGAAAACAAGATGCTGATTGCAATAATTTGCGTTTGTGAAGCAATTTACTGCAATCTCTGCACATGTTCAGTGATGCGTATTAAATGCATTTGGGCTATTTGGGGGTTGGGCAGCATATTTACCCATCAGAAATGGTGTGGCATTACTACATTGGGAAGTGGAAATGCTCGATGTCACGGTCTGCCTTTCCGCATTTCCCTGGTGGCCACGTGTGTGTTCTGGGCCCAGCACTGTCTCCGTGCCTTCAGCTCGGAATCCTGCCAGGACCCAACCCCCAACTGGAGCGGTCTGTTCGCCGCAGGTGTGTTGGAGCCCGCAGGCTGCAGCCGCCCGATAAAGCCTGTGTCCTTCCTAAGGAGGGGTGTACAGGGGCCCCTGGGGATCTCAAGGTGCGGGTGGGCCTGGTGTTGTGCCCATGCGGTGCGTGAGTCTGGTTATCTCACCGACCACAGGCTCAGTGTTCGTGTCTGTCTGTTGGACTCCTCTTGGGTTGGGCTTGGAGTACCCACACCTGCTGGTGAGGGGTAACCTCACTGGTCCCTGATCACCCCACCCCCACCCCCCGTGGATAGTCAGCAGTTCTTGTGAAGCGGTGCAGAGTGGCCATTTTGTTTAGGTGGTGGCCATCCCTTCCATGTTGCTGCTAGGATGGCTCTGTGCTCTGGGCTCTCCTAACCCTCAGCTCAGTCGTGACCTCCGTGTGGCACTCTGGAGTCAGGGGTGGGGACTGGGGAGGGGCCTGGACCGGGACTGCCTTGTGGCTGTGAAGTTGGGTCCCATGCTTGGGAGCTGTGAGATGGGAGGTTGTTGTGGGTTCGTCTCGTGTGGGAGATGGGCCTGGGTCCCACATCACCGGGCTCTGACACCTCCTGACACCTCCCAGACTCAGGGCAAGGCTCCTGGCCCAGCTTGAATGCCCCTGTGAATGTTCTGACCAGCGGACTGGGCCGCAGGTGCCCACGTAGACACCCTCAGCAGATGCTGGCCTCAGGGCTCTGTGCGTGCATGGCCTGTGTTCCTGCGGGCCCTCCAGAGGTGACCAGTTCCTGCACTGGGAAACCAGAGCCAGGGCCTTCAGCAGTCGATCTAGAGAGAAGGCCAAAGAGGAAGCCATCCATAACCCTCTCCTTGAGCCCCTCTCCTTGAGCAGCTGAGCCGGGCTCCCCCCTGGGAGGCCCCCGCCTGCTCCTCGGCCACTGCTGGTGAGTCCTGCTCTGCCAGAGCGCCTCCTCCCCGGCCAAGAGACCGGCACTGCCCAGGCTGGAGCCAGTGCCGCGTCCTCACGGGTGGCGGCTGCCGTCTCCAGGTGTGGCTCCACCGAGGAGGTGGGCCCTCCCCGGCAGGCTGACTTCCCGGCTCAGGCCCCCATCCTCCCTGAAGGAGCCGTGGTGGGCCTCATTTGCCGGTGCTTGCTGTTCCTTACTGCTCCTCAGGCCATCTTGCCAGTGCGCCAGGGGCAGGTGCCCTGCAGTGCAGAGCTGGGGAGGGGGGAGTGTGTGCCCCCGAGGGGGAGCCAGGCATGGCATTCCTGCGGCGGGAAAAGGAGTTCTTGGTTCTGGGGTGTCTGTGCCTCTCAGCAGGATGACGTCCGTTTTTATGCTAGAAAGCAACGTCAAGCCCTGGCAGTGGGTAGGGGAGTGGGCACTGAGAATCAGGTTGAGAGGATCATTGTGGTGGAAAGACACTGTAGTGGCATCTGTGCTTGCACTCGCAGGGCCACGGCGGGGCCAGCAGACGGCACAGGCGAGCATTCATGGCCATAGGCAGGTCTGGCTCCCAGGACCCGCAGCAAGCACTGTGTCCTGTGCGTCCCTTGGCGTCTTGGTCCACACCGGCTCCTCCTCTGCCGCTCTGGGGAGCACTGTCTGTTGAGGCTCAGCTTGGGGCAGCTCCCGGTGGTGTCCTGGTGTCCTGACTCCTGCCCTGTGTAGGACTGCCACCCCTCCTCTGCCCTCAGAGCCCCTTTCATGTCTTGTTTTCCTCCTCGGAGAGTGAATTTGTGAGGGTGGGAGTGAGACATGCGTGCATCTCGGTGCCTCCCACAGTGCCACGGTAGGCAGGTGCCACTACTGTGTTTGTATGAGTGACTGGAGGGCACTGGCCTGGCTGAGGGTGAGAAGCCTGAGCTCTCCCACGGCAGACTCGCCACGCAGCCCTGCTGCACGTGTGGCGTGCTGGCCTGGGGCTGCCTCTGGCCGGGACATGCTGTCTGGCGGGTCGTCGCTGAACAGGTGCCTCGTGGCACCCCTGGGTCCTCATCTGGGTGCAGCGGGCCTCACCCGGTGGCTCCCAGAGTTCAGGCCTGCAGAGGCCAGTTGTAAAGTCTGCACACGCGCCATTCTTTCTTGGACCGATGTTTATGGAATTCGTCTCATGCGTGTTTTCTGAAATCTACTCAGATGTGGTCTTTATAGAGCGCGAATTCTGTGCTCCTCGGTGGAGTCCCTTTTGGCCAAGGCGGTAACTGGGGTCCAGTTTCCAGGGGCAAGGCTTCCCTCTCTCACCTGGGAAAGGGCTTCGTCGGCGTCGAGCAGCAGGGGGCGCTGTTGCTCAGGAGACGAAGCCGCCCCAGCCGCCTCCTGATCTTTGCGCAGGGAGGGAGTGGAGACCGTGCCCTCCTCTCTGCCAGCGTGTTCTGCCGGGGGAGTGCACGCCAGCTGCCAGCTCTAGTCCTTTGCTCCTGTCTTATCTGCAGTGAGAGGGAAGGCGAAGTGTTCGTGAGGAGTCAGGCGAGGTGAATGTCGCCTGGCTGGGTCACGGAGCTCTCCTGTCTGGAGCGGGGCTGAGGCCGTGGTGACACGTGCGGCCGTGGTCAGGAGACAGTATCGTTCGGAGTCAAGGCCAGGCCTGGTGCTTTTCGTGCACGCGTGGATGGCAGGCGGCTGGGAGATGCTGCTGCTTGTCCTGTAGTGGCTCTCGAGAAGCTCCTGGCCAGAGGCGTTCATTTCCTGGACAGGGGATGAGACTTCTGTGGTCTTGGGTTCCGATCAACTTTTCTTCCCGTGGTATGTGGCAAGGTTTGTGGCACTTCCTAGAATTCTACCACCAAGGTACTGGGACATAGAGTTGCTGAAAGCTTGACCTCGCTAGGGTTCTGGACTGTGGGAGTGTGGTCAGAGAAAGAGCCGGGACCCAGGACCTGCACACCACAGAGGCCATATTGGCTTGTTTCTGTTGGGCAAATGCTAGTGAAGGAGTTTGTTTTGCTTTATTTGTTACTGCTGCTTTTTATTGCACTTGAAAAAACTTTTTAAAAAGCCATATATTGAGATGTAAATCAGACATAAAATTCACACACTTGAGGTATACAATTCAGAGAGAGGTTTTTAGTATATTCACGGTTGTACAGCCATCAGCCCTGTGAAATTTTAGAACATTTTCACTGTCCCAAAAAGAGACCCTGTCCCAGCTATCATTCACACCCCATCCTCCTGTCCTGTCCCTGGAGACAGCCACTGGTCTGTTTTGTCCCCATAGATTTGTGTGTTCTGAACATTTCACATCATGGAATCCTGCAGTAGAATGTGTGGTCTTTTTGTGACTGCTTCTCTCACATAGCTTGATTTCAAGGTCATCTTTGTTGGAGCATGTCAGCACTTCATTCTGTGGTGTGCTGGGCCACATTTGGTTCATGTAGTCATCAGTTGGTGGCCATTGGGTTGTTTCCACTTTTGAGCTATTAGGAATGATGTGCTGTGAACATTCATGGGCCAGTTTTGGAGTGGACATATTGTTTCACTCCTCATGGGTATAAACCTAGGAGTGGACTTGTTGAGTCACATTTTTAACATTTGCAGGTGCTACTAAACTAAAGTGGTTGTAGCATTTATGTTCTACCTGCAGTGTGCAAGGTTCCAGTTTCTCCACATCCCCACTAACACTTGCTGTTGTTGTCTTTTTTATTAGATCCATCCTAGTAGGTATGACTGGAACTCGTGGTTTTGATTGGCATTTCTCTAATGACTGTTGGTGTTGAGCACCTTTTTGTGTGCTTATTAGCCACTCATAGGTCATCTTTTGAAGAAGTGTAACTTACATTTTGCCCATTCTTTATCTGGGCTGTCTTTATATTACTATGTTATAAGGTTTTTGAAATATAATCTGACTACAGGTGCCTTACTAGACATACATGGTTTGAAAATGTTTTCTCTCATTTTGTGGATTGTCTTCTAACCCTCCTGTTTTTCTTGGACCCTTCGGTTTGGAGTCATCTCTAAGAAACCATTGCCATGAAGTTTTATTCCTGTGTTTTCTTCTATGAGTGTGTACTTTTTTTTGAGTCAGAGCCTTACTCTGTGAGTCAGAGCCTCACTTTGTGATTGCCCAGGTTGGAGTGCAGTGGCACGCTCACGGCCACTGTAGCCTTGAACTGCTGGGCTCAGGCGATCCTTCTGCTTTAGCCTTCCAGGTAGCTGGCACTACAGGCACGTGCTTCCATGCCCAGCTAATTTTTTGATTTATTGTAGAGACAAGGTCTCGCCAAGTTGCCCAGTCTAGTCTTGAATCCGTGGGCTCAGGCAGTCTTCTCACTTTGGCCTCTCAAAGTACTGGGATTATAGGCATGAGCCACCATGCCCAGCTCAAGAGTATATACTTTTAGCTCACATATTTAACTCTGCTTCATTCTGACTTAGTATTTGTGTGTGGTGTGAGGTAAGGTCCGACATCATTCCTTTACGTGTGGATATTCAGTTCTTCCAGTGCTATTGTTGAGTAGATTCTTTTGCCACTTAGTCGCCTTGGTACCCTTGATAAAGGTCAGTTGACCATACATTTAAGGCCTCATTTAGGGACATGCGATTCTTTTCCATTGATCCATGTCTGTCCTTCTTTTATTAGTACCACAGTGCCTTCGTTCCTGTACCTTTGTCATGACTTGCAGTCAGGAGGTGTGAGTCCCCAAATGTATTATTTTCCAAGATTGTTGGTGCTGATTCTGGGTTTCTCAAGCTTTAGTGTGAATTTTATGATCAATTTGGTCTGTTTCTGCAAGAAACCACCTAGCCTTTTAGTAGATATTGCATTGAATCTGTAGATCAATTTGGGAAGTATTCTTATCTTAACAATATCAAGTCTTTCACTACATGAACATAGGTTTTCTACTTATTTAGATTTTTAATTTTTTAAACAATGTTTTATAGTTTTCAGTGTACAAGTCTTATATTAAATTTATGGTTCTTTTGTTAAATTTATTCCTGATTTTTTTAATGCTATTATAAATGGAATTGTTTTTTCTGAATTTCACGTTTGAATTGTTTGTTGATAGTGTTGGAAGTGCACTTGGCTTTTGTATATTGTATCCTGCAGCCTTGAGCTTGTTTATTAGTTTTCATCTTTTTAGTGAGTACCCTGGGATTTTCTGTGTGTGAGAGCATGTTGTCTGCGTCTTCCGCCTCCTCTGGCTGGACACCTTCTGTGTCCTGCTCTGCATGTGAGAGCATGGCGTCTGTGTCTTCCACCACCTCTGGATGCCTTCTGTGTCCTGCTCTGTGTGTGAGAGCATGCCGTCTGTGTTTTCCACCTCCGCTGGATGGCTTCTGTGTCCTGTTCTTGCTTACTTGCCCAGCTAGAACCTCTGGTCCAATGTCGAGTGGCAGTGGCAGGAGTAGACCCCTCTGTCGTGTTCCTGCTCTAGGAGGGATCTCCGGCCTTTCACGTTAAGTCTGACGTTGGCTCCGGGCCGACTTCGTGTTCCTGGGATTTGTACATCTATTCAGAAGGGATATTAGTCTGTAGTTTTCTTTTCTTGAAGTGTCTTTGTCTCATTTGGTGTGAGAGTGATACTGGCCTCATAAAGTGAGTCAGGACATGTTTTCTTCTACTTTTAAAAGAGTTGTGAAGGATTAGTATTCATTTTTTCCTTAAATGTTGCTAGCATTTACCAGAATCAAGATACTTTCTGGACCTGAGCTTTTCTTTGTGGTGTGTATTTAGCTTATGGATCAATCCTTTGACTTGTTGTGGTCTGTTCAGATTTTCTGTTTCTTCTTGAGTTGGGTTTGGTGCTTGGTGTCATTCTGGGAATTGTGTTTCACGTAAGGTGACTAGTGTTTTGGCATACAGTTGTTCTAGAATTAATTTATAATCCTTGTTTAGTGTAAGGCTGGTGATGATGTCCCCTCTTTTATTCTTGATTTTAGTAACTTATCTTTTCTTTGTTCTTAGTCTAGCTAAAGGTTCATCAGTTGCCTTTAATTTGTTGCCTTCATTTAAAATTGCTCAACACCAATCATTTACTGCCTTTTCTTCTAGGGTTGATTTTTTTGTCCCAGGAGTCTCTGTGGTTGGTGGGTTTTCAATATGCTCCAGTCCCAGACTGCTAGAACAAGAGAGAATGATAGAATTGGCAGTGAAGTACACAAACCACCCTCCCGCCCTCTGGATTCACAATGAGGTGAGTACACTTCCAGTGTAGACCTGGCCATCTGGTATCACCGCCCCCCTCTCCCCCCACCATTGATGTTAAGCTCACTTGACTCTCCTACAAGCTGGGCTTGAGTGAGGGATGCGTGCTCACAGAGAGCGTCCTGGAAAGGTCAGGGAAGCTCGAGGTTTGGGATGTGTTATGTTTGACTCAAAGAGACTTTGGGATCTGGAAATATTTCCTGGGTTGCAAAATTGTATTCAATGGAATACTCCTTTAGAATGAAAACATTTCACATTTTATGCAAGTTTTTGGAAATTGGCTACGTCCTGTGGATGGTAAATCTGTAAATCAGATGATTTTGTCCTAACTGTCCCAAATAAAGGGAACTGCCATTATTTGGAGGGGAAGCTGTCTGATGACTTGGTGTGACTGGTGGCTGGTGGTGAGCATAGCTGAGCCTGGGGTGCCTTCACCTCTCCCTCTCACATCTCAGGCCGGAGGGCTCGGCGCCAGGGCTTCTGGAAGGGCATCACGTCTGACAGCTGCTAGGCACTCGCACCCCCACAGGGTGCAGTACAGTCTTGTGTGAGCCACCCAGCATCACCTCTAGAACTGCCAGCCAAGAGCGAGCTCAGAACAGGACCGCCACTTGTCCTCTCGGGTTGTTGACCCGTCTCCTTTCATGGCCACCCTCTTCATTACCAGAGTGTCTTCTGTGTTTACCAACAGCCTTCATCCCATTCCAGCCATCTTCTTTTCTTTACCAAAAAGTGTACGAGTACAAGCACAGCTTCAAAAACAGCCCTCTTCCCCTTTTTTCTTGGAAGTCACTGAGAGTCAACAAGGGAAAATAGAGGAAGCGTTTCCTTTTTTTTCAGCAGCACTTGGAAGCCCACTCCAGTGTCTTTGTACAGGCTGCCGGGAGGTGTGTGGGCTAGGAGAAGCAAGCGCTAAATGGGGACTGCAGGCCAGCGGCTGGTTCCAGAGCAGCTGTGGGAACACGCGGGAGGGGGACAGACTCAGCGCTTGTCTGCGCGGCGTGGAGACACCTCGGGTGTGGTGGCTACAGAGGCTCGCCTGCACATAGCTGGGTCCAGTTAGGAGAGAGGCATGGCAGCACGCACACAGACAAGAGGAGAGCTCTGTGCTGGGACACCAGGTGGCTTAGGGGATGCTCTTGGCCCGTTCCCCAATACAGGGCCTTTGTACAGTCAGTTGGCCCAAAAGTACTCGCAGTTCACCTCAACCTCATGAAAGAAACTGAAGAAGACATGAATAAACATCCTGTGTTCTTGGATGGGGTCACTAAACGTAGGAAGGAGTCAGAGCTTCTTAAACCAACTTGTCAGTTTAACATAACACCAGTCAGAATCTCCGCAGAGTTTTATGCAGATATGAATAAACTGATTTTAAAGTTTATATGGAAGAAAAAGGGCCTAGAATAGCTAAACCTGCTTTGAAAAAGAAGAATAAAGTGGGAGGAATCACATTCCTCAAACCTAAGATTAAAATTAAGCTACAGGAGTCAAAATGCTGTGGAATTGGAGAGGGGAGAGACACACAGGTAAGTGGAACAGGTGAAGAAGTTCAGAGTATGCTGACACATACGTGGCTGTTGTATTTTTGATGAAGGTGCTAAAGAAATTCAATGGAGAAAGGATAGCCTTCTCAACACAGTACTGGAACAATCAGACATTTTTAAGCAAAAAAAAACAAACCAACCCCCCCAAAAAAACCCACTTAGACCTAAATTTCATACTTTATATTCAGAGTTAACTCAAAATGGTTGTAAATCTAAATGTTCTAGAAGAAAACCGAAATACTTGGAACTTGAGAGTAGGTAAAGAGTTTTTAGACATAATACCAAAAGCAGGATCCACGAAAGGAAAGATTTAGGACTTACTCAAGGCCAAAACATTTTCTATAAAAAACACTGTTAACAGAATTGGAAAACAAGCTACTGACTGGGAGAAAATCGGTGCAGATCAGATATCCCACACAGGACGGTATCTAGAATGTATAAAGAACTCTCAGAAGTCAACAGAAAGAAAAGCAATGCAATTCTTTTAAATAGACACTTCACTAAAAAGGACATAAGAATGACAAATTAACAATGAAAAGATGGTCAGCATTGTTAACCATTAGGGAAATGCAGATTAAAACCATGTGTGGTGGATACCACTAGAGACCCATTAGGAAGTCTAAAATTGAAAATATTGACAATATTAAGTGCTGACAAGAATGTGAAGCATCTGGAACTCTCATATATTGCTAGCAGGAATGCAAAATGGTACATCCATTTTGGCAGTTTCATGTAAAGTTGAACATGCACTTGCCCCCTGACCCAGCAGTGCCACTCCTGAGTATTTATCCTAGAAAAATGAACACTGTGTCCATAGAAAAGCATAACATGGATATTTATTGCCATTCTGTTCATAATTATCAAAGCTAGAAGCAACACAGTTGTGCCCCAGCAGGTGACTGGATAAACAGGCTCTGATCATCCATACAGCAATCAAAAGGGGTAGACTGAGTCTCGAGGCATGATGTGAGTGAAAAAAGATGGCCCCCAAAGGCTACATAACCATATAAGCCCGCTCCTGCCACTTTCTGGAAGATAAGGATACAGCACTGGGAAATGGAGCAGTAGTTGGCTGAGTAGCCGGAAGTGTTTGAGCGTTAAGGGATAGCACCAGGGAATTTGGGGTGAAGGAGTCTTTAACTTCATTTCCATGGTAGTTACACACACACACACACACACACACACACACACACACACACACACCAAAATAAAAAGTTACACACCAAAATAAAAAGTTTTACCGTAGGAGCATTTTAAAAACAAAAAAAAAGTCCATAGGAACATAAAATGTGTTCTTGAGTTTGCACGCCAAGCTTGCCTGAGCAGGATGTCCCGGGCGCTGTCGTTTCCGTGGTCAACACACTGCCCACCCTTCCCCAGCCTCCGAGGCTTCTTCCACGTGGCCTCAGCCACCGTGTTCCTCTCGAGTCTCTGGAACACCCCCCCCCCGGGCTCTAGAATGTGCTGCCGAGGTCATACCAACAGGGTGTCTTGTCCACACGCCCCCCACTCAGCGTGAAGTGGGCATCCCCATCCCTGTGGTCCCCTGCCTCCTACGTGATGACTGGTCCCGGTCTAAGCTCCTCCTGCTTTCGTCTTTGTTGGCGATTCATGGAGGAACCTGCTCTGTGTGGCGGTGGAAAGTCTCTGGGTGGTGTTGCCCAAGTGCACGTCCTCACGGTCGGTCTGTCGTGTCCTCCCCGTGGGAGCAGCACACAACCCTTGTGAGGGCAGGTTTTTCTTGGAGCCGTTTTCAGGTGGCTGTTTTCCTCCTGAGGATTGTGTTTTATTAAGCCATTAGAGGGGACAATGGAGGCACGAGTCTGGGTGGCAGCAGGCTGCACTGTGGACGCAGAATGGAGTGCCGTAAATGTCTTCCTGTGTTTTATCTGTCTTGGCTCCCACTCCTGGCAGGGCGATGGGCTTCAGGCAGCTATTGTGTGCTTGGCCCAGTGGCTGCGGAAAGGCCATTTATTTCACAAGCGGAAGATCGAGGCCTCCGTTAGCCACGTGGCGATGTGACCGGAGGCGTGTTCTTTGCTCACTCATTCCGCTGTGCAGTGCTTGGGCCTCTTATTCTCGCTACTCTAGCAGTAATGTTGATCAGCAGAGACAGAAGTGGCTTTTGATTCTCCCCAGAAGCCAGCAGTCAGAAAGGGTGACCACGAAGCATAAGGCCAGTTTCTTTCTCTGGAGTGCATCTTTTTGCCTCTTTAGGGTTGAAGATACTCGGGGCTCTGTATGTGGTTTCCCGAGGCTCACTTTGTTGTCTTGACCAAGCTTGCCATGGGTGGCCATCGAAGAGCACGGCTTCTCCACTTTCCTCAGTCTCGTTAACACTCAGGTTCTTGTAGCTGGGGAGAACTGCTTGGGCAGGTGCGGGGTGAGGGATGGCAGGAAGACAAAGGCCATCTCGTCGCTAGGAGAGCCTCTACCGCGGGGATTGTTTTCAGACTGGAGAGGAAGGAGCGTCTTAAAGCACTATGGCGGCGTGTTGCCGTTCCTGGGCCCCAGTTAGTCCTCGTTGATGCCCCCTTGCTGCTGCTTTCTTTTGTCAAAAATGGAAAATCCCCCTGCCATCGTACATGTCCAGATCTACATAATTTAAAATAGTTAGGTTCAGACGTTTCTCCCAAGAGAAAAGGTTTCCATTCATTTGACAATTCTTTACTCAATAGGACACGTATTGTGAATTCAAGTGCTTTTTCCCCTTAGATTTTCTTAGTTCCACTGGTCCTTGAGTTGCAGAGCCCACATTAAACTCCCGTCCAGTCAGCGTGCTCACTGCTCGCCTGCATGTGAGGCGTGAGTGTTGTGGCGTGGGCCTCAAGCCCGTGGCATGCTGGGTCTTCTCAGGAGGGAACCCGTTAGGATTTATACTCGGAACGTATGGCGGGAGAAACCTGAGCCCTTCCTATGAGGCCTTCAATCTGGGCTCTGGGTTTTGTAACAGGAAGGGAGGAACAGTCGCCCTCAGCACTTCTTCTTGTGGCAAATACCCTCTCTGCGTCTGACACCAGCGGCAATGCGTTGCTGGATACCCACCTGTGACCCGTGTTCCAGGCAAGGCGGCCAAGGCTCCAAGGAGTTCTGGGCTTGTCGGCTTTTGTGGAGGCTGTGCTTGAACTCAGCCTCTGGCTCCTAGGTCAGTGTGTCTTTCTCCACATGAGGGGTTAGCAGCTCTGTCAGACCCAGTGTCCCTTTTCTACAACTCTCCTGAAGTGAAATTCATAGTTAGTGTACACTTTTTTTTTTTTTTTTAAGAAAAATGACACGGGCAACCCCTTTGGGTCCCCTCTGGCTGTGGGAGCTTTTCTGTCCTCCCAATAAATCCTGCTTTCTCGGAAAAAAAAAAGAAAAGAAAAGAAAAACGACACAATTCTGAAGCCATATTTGAAGGAGAAGTCAGGAGAGT